GCTCAGTTCGCCGGCAGGTCGCAAAAACGACTCCCCTGCAGCCCGCAAAGATCATATACCAGAGAACTGCAAAACGATGCTCAAAATTTATACCAAATTTAAAGTCAAGGTACAGTTCTATACCAAATTTAATAAAACTTCATACCCAAAAATTTTATTTTTTATTAATAAAGCCAATGAGTAGACTGTACCTTTATAAAAAAAAATAAAAAAAAATTGTATATGGAAAATATTATGAATACTTTGAAACATATGCAAGCAGTTTAAGTTTCTGAGCACAAGTCCATATTCTGTAATAATAAAAAATTGTCATAGTAAAAGCGGTTTATTATCCAAATGAATGACTTTTATTTATGCTTAAATATATAAAAATATGGGTGTGGAACTTGTCCAACCCAGGCCGAAGGTTCCTCGAAAAACTTGTGGGTTTCGATTCGATAAGAAAACAAGTAAGAGCAGCGCTGGCTTCGGCTATGCCGAAGGCTTCATACCTTTCATGAGCATCTGACAATTTTACTTTAACAAATTACTGCATTTGAAAAAATTTATATATTTACAGAATACCTAAATAGAGGAGATATATATATATATAAACCCATATCTAAAAAATCAGAGGTATGGAACATATACCTTATATAGCACCAACCTAAATGATTTTCACTGCTGTGTATCTGCTGTAATCTGTGCTGTATCTGTGTATGCTGCTGTATGGTATCTGAACAATCGGAGGTATAAGAGATAAAGCTTATACAGCATAGATTATGACGTTTTCCTCAGTAGACTTTGTATTATTTTTTATAGAATAGCTTACGAAATTGATCTGTTTTATCAGTCCAAAACAGACGGAAAAACAGACAGACAGACAGACGGACATGGCTAAATCGACTCAGCTCGACGTTCTGATCATTTAAGTATACATTTTAATGGGTCTATCTCTTCTTACTCTGGTACTTACAAACATCGGACCAAAGTTATTATACCATTTCATGCTCATGAAAGGTATAAAAAGGGGGTCGGAACGACGTTGTATTTTGTATGGAAAAAACGACTTCGTTTCGAGTTCACCCAAACGACTTCACCAGAGCGACGTCGTAACGACGTCGTTTTGAGTTCACCCAAACCACTTCGCCAGTGCAACGTCATAACGACGTCGATTCGAACCCGTCTTCGCCCTATGGCAAATTGGGTACATACATGTATTTAGCAAGTTCAATCAGTGAACGCTGCCCTGCAGGAAATTTTGCTAGTTCAGAACTAGCTCATTAAGAGGCGGTACTGGTTCTCGATCTATCCCAACGCTATGGTTTCAACTGTCTCTTTTTATATGGCGTCGTCCTACGAAGTGGAAATTGTCACCTCTGCAGAACTTTGGAACTAGTTCTGAACTGGTTCCATTTTCGACAGTTCTGGGCCAATAAGTTTTTTTATGAGAAAACATTTTTAAATCAAATTTCTGGATATTTTTTTCTTTTCTGAACTTTTTCCGTTTTGGACAGATCTGCGACAATAGGTTTATTATGAAAAAAATTTTGATTATCAGATTTTTTGATATTTTTTGATTTTTCCTGTTCTTTTACAGATCGCATTTTATTAATTTTTTTTTATTTGATTTTATTTATATTAAATTTGATCATTTTCTCTTAAACCGCGATTCGAACTCGCGATCAACGATGTTGGATTCGGAGGTCTTCCCGCTGAGCTACTTTAGTATTGTACGAGAAGTGAGAATTTGTGCATTTTCGTCTTAACAGAGCACAACTACCACACCAAAATTTCAACTGTGCCTCCCTGCAGCCGTTTTGCACTAGTTCAGAGATAGTTCTGACTGTCTCTAAATTTTACTGCAGGGTGTTTAGAACAAATACATTTATGTGTGTATGTATGTGGTATAGCGCAGTCACGTCGCTCATACACATCTCATACCTTGTTTATATGACATCAAACTCGGTCATGATTCAATAATACAAGGTTAGATAATTATTGACAGCCGCGGTTTGACACTCCCTTACAAAAGGTTGCATTCACTAAGGACAGAGAAAGGGCGAAAATGGTAGTAGAAAAGTACGCAAAGTAGGCAATTAGTAGTGAAATTCCTTGTGTAAATTCTAATGTATTTGCAGGAAATCTGGCATTTTAAATGAAATATTGAACGAAATATTAATATATCTATGTGAATTACGTAACTTATTTGCTATTTAGCTGTATAAAAACTGCACCAGGACTGAAAATTAAAATAAAACTACTATGAGATTTATGTAAACATCCAATTTAAAAACAATTTATGTTTTCATCACTTAAATGTGCTTCATATGCATTTGCAAATAAACATATTGCACAAAAGCTTATACTTCTATTTCACACCAAAGCTACACTGTTTCCATGTAAATTTGCAAAGAAGCAACACGGTGCCACTGCTAAGGGAGCGGTGTGAGAGAGACAACTGTCAGTTTATCGAACCTTGTATTATTGAATCATGAAACTCGGTATCGAATTAACTCGTGTCAATGTAGCTCGCTTGAAATGGAAGTGTTTATATGCAACAAAAGAAATGAGTCGATTGAACACTCTTTCAAACAGATTTCATCCCGATGCAACCCTGTTAATACATGTGTCATTTCTTGAAAATAATAAACATGGAAAAATAATAATTAAAGATCCAAACAGCCATGAAAAAACGATATTAGCTTTTAATTTTATAAGAAAGCTTAGTCTAAAAGTAATTTCAAGAACTATTTAAATGTTTTTCTTCATACAAAGTTGCATGAAACAACCGTGTGGTCAAATCCCGTGTTTATATGCACTCTTAACACGATTCAGCAACTCTTAACTCGCATTCAAAATGTGATTTATGGTGGCACGGTTAATAGTTTCAATTCTATTTGAGAATGTGTTTACATGTGTGTGTCCAAGTAACATGGTTTGAATTAGAACGAATTGAAGCATCATATAAACATGGCATCACTCAGAATTTTTTCGTAGCTATGTATGCGCTGTATTTGGCGACCAAATAGGCTTATGCTTATACATACGTCTTTGTTATTATACCTTTCATGAGCATGAAATGGTATTATAACTTTGGTCCGATGTTTGAAAGTACCAGAATAAGAAGAGATAGACCCATTAAAATGTATACTTAAATTATCAGAACATCGAGCTGAGTCGATTTAACCATGTCCGTCTGTCTGTCTATCTGTCTGTCTGTCTGTCTATCTATCTGTCTGTCTGTCCGTCTGTTTGTATGCAATCTAGTCTCTCAGTTTTCAAGATATCCGGATGAAATTTGGTAGGTGGGTGTATTTTTATAATGTATTAATCATTTGTCGGAATCGGAAGAATCGGACCGCTATAAGGTATAGCTCCCATACAACTGATTGTTCAGATATGAGATTTTTCGTTATAACTTCTACATTTATGTAGCTATGAACATGATATTTTGCAATACTTCCACCCATTACACTATGCGACAGTCAAAATCGGGATGGGATGAAACCAACGGGAAATGTTATATCGGTCAAAAACAAGTTATACGTGACCCGGCGTTTCGCTGGGTCACGTCTAGGAATCGAGATATATATATAACTATCATATAGGGGAAATTGTCACCTTTGGTGGTCTTCTTTTGACATAACTCGAGAACCACTAGTCCGATTTTGCTCAAACAAATTTAAAAAAATTAAAAATTACAATTCCTTTAATCTGTTCATATAACGTTTTTCTATATAATCAACAGTTTTGCCGGTAAAAATAAATGTATGAAGAAAAAAAATATTTTTTGCCTAAAATATTAAATTTTTTTAAAACTATAGGTCACATATTTATTGCCTCCATAAAACTGATTGTTGAGATATAGGGCTTTACTGTAAAACTCCGTTATTTAGACAGCTAAAGTCGATAAATTTCGTAAGCTATTTTATAAATAACTAGCTGTACCCTGCCACGCTTTGCTGTGGCATATTCCTGTTACATGGATGATAAATGATTAACGAAACAAAGCATACGTTTCAGATAAGTTTAATTTTGCAATACTATCTGGTTTTCCGACACGCAACATAGATTTTTCCATGTGAGAAGCAATCGGCATCTAAATCTAAACCATTCTTTTCCAAAGGTTGACCTGGAGCATTACTGATTGTGATTCCGAATGCCAATCGGATTGGGATTTGCCATATTTTAAATTGAAATGGTGTATCGGTCGGAATCATGGGAATTCACCTTTCAAAGGCCACGTTAAAATCTTTGCTTTCACTACGTTCTTCATCAATTTCTTAGTTTCGAGTCGCGTGCTATTGCAGAGTTTCGGCTGATTAATATTCCGCAACATGATAATAGCCACACCTATTTTCAATTTCAGTATATGGGGTCATCCCTGGAAGATCAATCGAGTTCAAAAATTCCGTTGGATAATTAACTGCTTCATTTGTTTCCACAACGGTGTTTATCGACATACATATATCTATGTTATTTTATCACTTCGAATGCTGGATTGAAAAACATTATTGAGTTGATAGACATCTGTTCCGTAACCAGCAATATAATTTCAGTTTCATGTAGGGTATATATGTTCTCTTATACTACCTTTCATAAATATGTATGAATGTAACCTTGTAATTTCATTTCACATCAATACATAGCTAAATATACATATGTGCATAGGTTCTTTTATCCCATACGATTGTATTGTAGTCCAGTTATGTACGGTAATATCAGCCCATAAGGCACCTGAGGTATTTATATTTTCTGGAGTAGACTCGTTTTTTTGGTTTCGCTTCAGCATCACGTGGATGCAGTAATATTTGAGTAAAACTTAAACGAACTTAAAATAAATTTGCGTTTGCCAAAAAATCAAAATCATTCGCTTTTAATTTACAGTCCGCTGGTTTAGCTACATAAAAAATTGGTCCATCGTACCGGATCAGGCGCGAACGAGAAAAAATAAAATAAAAATATAATTTTATGGTTTCGGGTTTTCTTAAATTTCTGCACCAAGTGAGGGGAGTAAAATGCAGAAGTTGAAGGCGAAACGATCCTTGCTAAAAGGAGCGGTCACACGCATCTTAAATTTCGTGACTAGCAGTGGAGCTGATTCTCCAGTGGCAGACTGGGAATGCCGTTTGGAGCGTCTTGAAGAGGTATGGAGTGAATACCGCGACATCGTTCGAGCCATGGTAGAGAAGAGCGATGGCGAGGAGGAGGCCCTGGTGGAGATTCAAGTAGATGCAGAGGAATTTGAAGAGCGCGTGCTGAACACAAAAGGTAAACTTCGAGCACATATCACTGCGAAATTGCACGCGTCTGGCGTATCAAATGTTTTTGAGTCCACTCGCGGAGACTGTTCGGTTGCCGATATTTTATCATCGCAAACGGAAGTTTTAAGTAATTTGGCCAAGCAGGTGTCTGGACCAAATTTAAGTTTCATGCCAAAGTTAAAAATCAAATCGTTCTCTGGGGAGTTAACTGAGTGGAAATCTTTTCATGATTCGTATGTCACTTCCATTCACAACAACTCGGTGTACTCAGCGTGTCAAAAGTTTCAGTTGCTGAAGAGTTACTTGACGGAAGCAGCATACGAGTTAATTGGGCATATTCCTGCGACTAACGATAATTATCTAGAGGCATGGAGTAAGCTATGTGCGCGCTATAATAAGCTTGGTGTTATAGCGCATACTCAAGTTTCAAAGTTTCTTAGTTTGACAACTTTAAGTAGCCAATCTGTTTCATCTTTACGTAAATTATATGACGGAGCTGACGAGGTTATTCGTGGATTGCGCGCACTGGGCGAACAAGCAGAAAAGAGGGACATCTGGCTAATACATATTCTACTCGGTAAACTCGATTCGACAACTGCCAGGGAATGGACGAAGTTCACGAAATCAGACAACGATTTTCCAACATTAAATGAGTTTTTGACGTTTTTGTACAACGCATGTATCACGTTGGAATCTGTAACACCGGCAGCCACATCGCGTACGGGAAGCCGTTCAGTTGCAGTTAAGACACATCAAACGACGATAGAAATGAAAGTTAAATGCCAAAAATGCGGCGGTATACATGAGTTGCATCAGTGCAGTGAATTTCTTAGTATGGATGTTAAAGCTCGCAGAGCCTTTGTGGCCACTAAACGCATATGTTACAACTGCCTTAGAGTCGGTCATATATCAAATAATTGCCGCTCAAAATTCTCGTGCCGTAATTGTCGAAAACGACACCATAGCCTCTTACATGAAGATAATCAGCAAACGCAGAAGTTAGAGTCATTAGTGGACTCTGCAGTTAATGTGAACTTTCACGCGCTACCTGCCATTAACACTCTTTTGCCGACAGCGGTATGTCTGGTAAGCGATAGCTATGGGTGTAAACAGTCGTGTCGCTTGTTGTTGGACAGCGGTTCTGAGAAAACTATTATATCAGAGAGCACCGTCAGTCGCTTAGGGCTACATCGAAAGCATGCAAGAATACCGGTACATGGTTTGGACAACTCAGCTACTGGAATATCGCGCGGCTGGGTTTCTCTTCAAATAACTTCCAGTGACAACAATAATACGTTCACAGTCGATGCGCTAATTATGCCAACAATTGCATCGTTTATGCCGGCAAATGAACTAAATAAAGAGCAGTACATTTCTTTTTTGTCTTTAGACTTGGCGGATCCATTGTTTTTCATACCTGCGCCAATAGACATTCTTTTGGGGAACGATAAATTTTTTGAAATTTTGAGGGGCGAAAAGATTAGAGGAAAAGAACAAAATTTATGTGCTCTTTCAACATCACTGGGGTGGATCGTAGGTGGCGATTTAACCAACAATGCGAGCAATAGAAGCGTGGGAGTATTTCTTAATAACGTAGACATCGACCAAACACTTACACGATTTTGGGAGACGGAAGAGGTCGAATACGCACATCAATTGACAGACGACGAGCTAAGGGCAGAGCAATCATTTTCGAGTACGTATACGAGATCGGACGATGGCAAGTTTAGCGTTGAGCTTCCTTTTAAAACTAAAGTTAACCATTTTGGAAATTCTTTTGAGTGCGCACTTAAGCGACTGCAAGCAACAGAACGCAGGCTTGCAGGCAACCCGGATCTAAAATCGCAGTATTCAAATTTTATGGCGGATTACATCGCTTTAGATCATATGGAGAAGATCCCAGATGAGGAAATTAGTAAATCACCTAACGAGTGCTGCTATTTACCTCACCATCCCGTTTTTAAAAACGATAGCACAACAACGAAGCTACGCGTTGTTTTTGATGGATCTGCACGTAGTGGAAGCCACTCGTCGCTGAATGATGCGCTGCTTATTGGGCCATCGCTTTTGAGAGAGATTTTTGATATTTTACTCCGGTTCCGTCGACATCGCTACATAATGTCTGGTGACGTCGAAAAGATGTACCGCATGATTTGGGTGCACGATTACCACCGGGATTTCCAACGTATTTTGTGGCGAAGTTCACCCGAGGAGCCGGTGAATCACTACAGGTTAAAAACTGTGACTTATGGCACAGCATGTGCACCATTTCTTGCAGTGAGGGTATTGGAAGAGCTTGCAAAAAAATCTCAAGACACTCATCCTTTGGCATCACAGGTAATTTTCAATGATTTTTATATGGATGACGTTATGACAGGGGCAGAGTCTTTTGACGACCTTCTTAAAATCCATAGAGAGCTAGTTGCTCTTCTTAAAGGTGCAGGTATGAATTTGCGTAAGTGGAGTAGCAACTGCAATGAGTTACTAAATTCTCTTCCCGAAGTAATGCGAGAGATGTCGCCTGTTAACTTGGAGCCACCGAAAATGCTCAAATTACTTGGAATGAAGTGGAACCCTGTTAATGACGTATTTTCATTTTGCCTTTCATACTCTTCATCGACAGTGGCAACAAAGCAGTCGATACTGTCAGATGCGGCGCGCATATATGACCCTTTAGGTTTTCTTACACCATGCACAGTTTTGATAAAAATGTTTTTCCAAGAGCTGTGGCTTCTCAAATTAGACTGGAAGGACGAGGTTCCGACTAGCGTTTCGGCACATTGGTTAAAACTCAGAAGCACACTTTCAACAATAAATTCATTGCAAATTCCAAGAAGAGCATTGTTCGCACTAGGTCGTAACGAATTACATGGCTTTTGCGATGCTTCTCAAAACGCGTACGCTGCCGTCGTCTATTGCCGTTCTGAGTATGAGGGTAAAATAACAACTCAACTTGTGGCTGCAAAGAGTCGCGTCGCTCCGCTCAAGCAAATATCTTTACCTCGTCTGGAGTTATGCGGTGCTGTCCTTCTCTGTCGGCTGATGAATCGTGTAGTGAAGACTCTGCAATTCGATAGAATGGCAGTTCAAATGTGGACGGACTCATCGATCGTTCTTCATTGGTTATCGGCTGTGCCGCGGCGCTGGTCTGTTTACATTGCAAATCGGACATCGGAGATATTGACTAGTTACAAAAGCTCTCAATGGCATCATATTCGCTCATCACACAACCCAGCTGATCCCGCTTCTAGAGGCGTATGGCCTTCGGAACTACACACATTGAACATATGGTGGTATGGTCCCCCTTGGCTCAACCAACAAAAGGAGTTCTGGCCGAAGTCAAGTGCGTTGTCAGACATTCGTCATGGCGATCTAGAAGAACGTAAGAATCAACCAGAAGCTCACACTAAACTCTTCTTTCTATCTACAGAAGATCATATAATAATTGGTCCACTGTCATCGCGCATTTCAAAGTGGTCTCGACTAGTGCGCTCTGTGTCATATTGTCTACGATTTATTGGTTCTGTATGCAAACGAAAATATGAAACGTTCCTGTCATCTAATGAACTCAAGGCTGCTACCGTCTTCATCATACGTGCCGTTCAAGAAGAGCTGTTCTCAACTGACATTGCTGCCATGAATAAAAAAATCGCCATTTCTAACAAAAGCAATCTTTTGCCACTATCACCATTCTTAGATGACAATGGAGTGCTTAGGGTAGGCGGAAGAATCAAAAATTCATCAGCATCATTTGACATTAGACACCCCATCATATTATCTTCGAAACACAAGATTGTCGAGATGTTAGTTAACTATACACATATTTTACATTTGCATGTTGGGGTTACACAGCTTATATTTATTCTGAGACAACAATACTGGATTTTGGGCTCGCGAAATCTTGCGAGAAAAATTGTTCATAACTGTTTAACGTGTTTCAAGCTGCGAAAGTGTACTCAGACGCAATTAATGAGCGACTTGCCTATAGAGAGGGTGAGATTCCAACGACCATTTTCTAAGGTAGGCTGCGACTATGCTGGTCCTTTTTTACTAAAGGTTGAGATAGGCAGACTGCCGCGTAAGGCCAAGGGCTACATTTCTCTCTTTGTATGCTTCGTAACAAAGGCCATACACTTGGAGCTAGTCGGCGATTTAACTACCGAAGCGTTTATTGGCGCCTTGGATCGTTTCATTTCAAGGCGTGGACAACCGGAAGAAATTTGGTCTGATAATGCGAAAAATTTTGTTGGCGCTAAACGTAAACTTCATGAAATGTACCAGATTCTGGAAGCTTAACAACGAAGTTCCGAAGTTGCAGATTTTCTTTCTTTGAATGGCATTACTTGGCGTTTCATACCACCTTCATCACCACATTTCGGAGGGCTTTGGGAAAGCGGTGTGAAATCGGTGAAAACACATTTGAAACGAGTAATTGGCGAAACAACTTTAACATATGAACGATTTTACACGCTCTTGGCTCGTATAGAAGCGCTGCTGAATTCGCGACCACTGTGCCCTAGCAATGATGGAGAAATTGATGCCCTTACTCCTGCTCATTTCTTGATTGGGCAGCCATTTACTGCGCGAGCAGAACCTACCGTCGACTCGGCTGCAAATATACATCCGCAAAAGCAATGGGAAAAGGTAAAACACATGGCGCAAGGTTTCTGGAACCGATGGCACGCTGAGTATCTCACTAGTCTTCAGCAACGGAAGAAGTGGCAAAACGAAAAGACGAACTTAAAACTGCACGACATCGTTATCGTTCGCGAGCCTAATATACCTCAGTCGCAGTGGATGCTTGCAAAGGTTGTAAAACTTTTTCCAAGTTCTGATGGCAAGGTGAGAGTAGTTGCAATAAAGACCGCAAGAGGGGAGTACGTACGACCGGTAACCAAACTCGCATTGCTTCCTTCCTCAGTAGGACCTAGGTCCTCCAGCGGCCCGGAGGATGTTCCGTAACCAGCAATATAATTTAAGTTTCAAGTAGGGTATATATGTTCTCTGATACTACCTTTCATAAATATGTATGTAATTTCATTTCACATCAATACATAGCTAAATATACATATGTGCATAGGTTCTTTTATCCCATACGATTGTGTTGTAGTCCAGTTATGTACGGTAATATCAGCCCATAAGGCACCTGAGGTATTTATATTTTCTGGAGTAGACTCGTTTTTTTAGTTTCGCTTCAGCATCACGTGGATGCAGTAATATTTGAGTAAAACTTAAACGAACTTAAAATAAATTAGCGTTTGCCAAAAAATCAAAATCATTCGCTTTTAATTTACAGTCCGCTGGTTTAGCTACAACATCCTTATTCTTCGCGGCAAGAATAGCTCCTTCACTGAGCCAATCGTGATTTCTATATTTAGTTTGAATATGCGGAAACATTCTTTCGATCAGTTCTCCTTGCAATGTTTCTATGTGACAAAAATTATCAGGCAACAAAATTCGTCCTAATCTCTCATTGACTGCAGCTTTCCGTTCCCTATGTTCAGTACTTGTCCCGAGAGTACCTAGGCTGATTAATCGCTCTGTACTTGGACACGCATATTCGTAATCAACTGCAATGTATGTATGTTCGTCTTGCCACAATGTTGAATACTTCAGCCAAGCATTTATCTCATCCGCTTGAGTAAATCGAGATATTACAGGCAATGTTTGCGTAAAATCTCCTGCGAGCAGTATCAATGCATTTTTGAATGGTTGAACATTTCTACGCAAATCTCGGACCGATCGATCAAGAACCTCAAGAGATTTTTTGTGTGGCATCATTCACTCGTCCCAAACAATGAGTTTACATTTTTGTAATAAGTACTTTTCCTATACCGGATGTTCTGGAAATATTGCACATGGGAGTTTCGATGATTTGTATGTTCAATGGCAGCATAGGAGCTCAATGAGAAGTGTTTCCACCTGGTAACAATGTCGCAGATATTCCAGACGAAGCGGGAGCTACGACTATGTAATTTTTTCATCGAACCGTTGCCACAATCTTTTAAGGAATGTTCTCCTAGTTCCTCCTGGCGCATCCAAGTAGAAGGTCATTTATCATTTGCATCTTCTTACCACCAGCGGATTGGGAGTCGAACACTTTTAGACCTGGAATGTCGGTTCCCATTCGAACGCCAATCGCTTT